TTCCCTACAAGAAGATGCTCATAAGAGATCAAATTCTCTTAATCATCATCGCGCTAACAACATCAAAAAGGGAACGAAGCGAAACTTAACCTTCTTTGCTTTAAGCTCGGCTTCAAATCACGTTCACATTTTCATGATTTGGTCTCAACTCTCCTCGATTTAGGTTAGTATCGGTTTAGATCGTGACTTATCTTCTTCTACCTCATCTTAATCTACTTCTTCTACTCTGTTCTTTCTCGATTTGAAATCTTTCCTCTTCTACTCTTCCAATTCTGTTTCTGGGCTGTGTCATGAGATGTAGTGCGTGGGAAGCTTCTTGGAAAGTTGCTCGTTCACCATGATGGCTGGTCATGGCTTGCATACGTTTAATGCATAGCAACATATTTTTGCCGTTTTGTTTTGACGAGTAAATTGAATTTTGTGGGTTTTTTTTGCTGACTTTGTAACATGGTGGTAGGATAGGCTTTATTGTAAATGATTTTTTTATGTATTGAAAACAATGTTAATAAAATGATGGGATTTTTTTTTATTGTAACTCTCATGGGCTTTTTGTATGAATAGACTTGTATGGGCCTTTAAACACTTTGTTAAATGAAGGAATCTTGCAACTTATTTGTGATGTATTTGACCACATGAAAGCTTAGTGGGCTTTGGTTATTGAATGGACTTTTTTGGTAGTAAATCATGAGCAAGATATTTGTAGAGTTTTTTTGGGTAGTAAACCATTGTGATTTGTTATAACAACATATCACGAACATGAATAAAATTGGCTTGGAAATGGTAAGTAGCTGAACATTTATAAACATACTTTTCTGATGCTAATTGAACCACTGAAGTAATTAGACCAGTTGCATTTTGTGAAGACAACTTCTATGTTGAACAGCCTTCAAATCTTTTTGCTAAAATTGGATTTGTTCACTTCATCATATGTTGTAGAAGATTTGAAACAGACATTAAGAAATTAGTGCAGCTTAGACATTTTAATAAACATACTGTTGACTTCGCATAACATCTAAATCTTAAGTTTGATCTATGAACAGCAAAACACAAACCATCCAAGGGTTAAAAAATGTGTTATAGGTATAAGTCATCTTTACAAAACCGTATTATAGGATAAAGATTGCTCTAATTTATAAGCATGTGTATTATTCAATATTAGAAATTTTGATAAGTTAAAAATTTGCCCATGTCTCTTGGATTACTGCTTTGTCTGATGTGACTTTAGTATTACAACATGCCTTAATGTACTATTAGGTGTTTCTCGATCAGTTTTCTTTTAAGTTTTAAGTAAAGCACAAAATAGTTATTATTCAACCATCAACACTATTTTATGAAACATGTTTCTTCCGTTTTGTGCTTGTTTAGTTATTGCACATATTTAACATTGTTTGCTTTGCAGAATATGATTACCGGAGCTGTCCAAATGGATGGTGGTATCCTTGTTGTATCTGCACCTGATGGACCAATGCCTCAAACCAAGGAGCACATTCTTCTAGCTCGCCAAGTAGGTATTCTATTGAAGTGGTTTGTAAACAATAGAAGCAAACTTATAGGTCTACCGTTACTTCCTTGCTTCTTGATTAACACTCATTTACTTTTACATGAATTGTGCAGGTTGGTGTGCCATCTCTTGTTTGCTTTTTAAATAAAGTTGATGCTGTTGACGATCCAGAATTGTTAGAGCTTGTAGAAATGGAGCTTCGTGGTGAGTGTTTTTCTAACAGCGCACCTTCCCTCCCTTTTCCATGTTAGTATTCATGATAAGAACACACCTTTGTAAAATTCTGTAGTCCTCCTATTTGGTAAATTTTGAAGTGGATTTTTGTTAATTGTGTATCTGGCAGAGCTTCTGAGCTTCTACAAGTTCCCTGGGGATGACATCCCTATCATTAGAGGTTCAACACTGTCTGCTTTAAATGGTACAAATGAAGAGATTGGCAGTAAGGCCATTCTAAAATTAATGGAAGTTGTAGATGAATACATTCCTGACCCTGTTCGTCAGCTTGATAAGCCTTTCTTGATGCCCATTGAAGATGTGTTCTCAATTCAGGTAAAAGGGCATGGATAATCTACCTGCTGCTCTCAATTCAAGTCTTTTGAGTGGAAGATTTTCATCAAATAATCTACCTGCTGCTCTGTCACAGGTACATATGAGTGCCTGTGTTTGAACATCTTGAGGATACTTGCTGAGCTATTGAGCATACTTATCTTTTACTACGATATTGTGATGCAACATTTTCAATAGCTTGAACTGTTAGATGTTTTTATATATTATATTTATATCTATCGAAGTTAATGTATTCAAATGCTTTTTGTCATGTCATAATTACAGCATTCCATGTGAAATTTACTTTGCAGGAGGCATTTTCTATTTGCGATCCAAAAGTCATTGAGGTGAGTAGTCCATTTTATAGGTTATATTTTCATTTTGACTTATGACAGAATTTACTTGCCAATTATTTATTTAATCTGTATATTTATTTCACCTGAACTGCTTATTAGCTGCATATTTAAATAGTCACCGCTGATTTTTTATTGCACAAAATTGGGAAAATCCCCTTGGCAGCAACTCTGCAGAACTTTGAGGGTCTATACTCCCAATGCCTAAACTGAAGGCCCCAACACTTTTTAGTTGACTAAGATACTCTCGTCCTATATCTATTCCATTATTTACTTGGTGTTATATCCTACTCTCTAACTACTCAAGTCCACCAATAATCTAATTGAAACTAACTATCTAACAAATGGGATTATCTAACATTATTTGTTCTCTTTGTCACCAATCATTACATGATTACTTACAGTCTTAGTGCAGCTGCAAGGTTAGTGGATCTAAGTTAACATACTCTCTTTCTCTAGTATTGTTGTATATTACCTTCTAAACCTGAATTTCCTATAGTCTAGAAAATCAAGCAGTCAAAAGATCTCAGATGTTCGATTAAGATCGAAGGCTCGTTCTAACTTTATTTAACCAAATTTAAAATATGAGACATCCAATTTTCATACAACGACCGAGATCTGCGGCAACATGATTGTATGACTCCAAACAATCCAATCTCTTTCAATGGTTGCATTTTATTGGACTTACCTTTCAACATATGCATTTAACATATGTTCTTGTACTTTATTGAAAGGTTTGAAATTAACTTTTATAGCACAAGAGTTTCCAATGAATTGGGAGCAGGCCAACCAGAAAAAGCTAAACATGCAATGAGAGTCACTCTAAAGCTCTCTCTTCTCCTTGGATTCGGGTTTGTTTTGTTACTTATATTTGGTCATGATATATGGATTCAGCTGTTTAGTCCTATTATCAAAGACGAATTTGCTTCAATAACACCCTTGCTTGCTATTTCCATACTACTAGATTCTGTCCAAGGTGTCTTATCAGGTTTGAATTCTTTCTCTTTTAACTTATTCTCCACAACATGATCTTTAACAGACACTCTTAGGAGTAAACATGTCTTAAATAATGCAGGAGTGGCTAGAGGATGTGGTTGGCAGCATTTAGCTGTTTATGTCAACCTTGCGACTTTTTATCTCATTGGCTTACCAATTTCATGTTTTCTCAAATTTAAGACTAATTTGCAATATAAGGTATAATAGTTTCTCCATCTTGTTTTAAATATAAGCATAAAGTAAGTAAGTAGATATACTTAGTTTAAATTTAGAGAAATTATCTTGATTTTGCATTAATTTGTTTATTCACCAGGTTTTCTCTTGAATTTGGTTTATGATATAAGGTTTATGGATTGGTCTGATTTGTGGCCTTGTGTGTCAAACTGGAATGCTCTTACTTTTGACATGGCATGTCAAATGGACTAGACTGAATCTCTCAGGGGACAAAGATAAAGACCAGCCTATTGTTGTTTGAAAACTGAATGTCTTCCTATTAGAATTAAATATGCTCCAAATTTAGCATGCGGTGAAGACTTTTTGAACACAGAAGCAAATGCAGGCTAAAAATGTGATTGCAACTTTGTAGTAAACATGAATTTAGATTATTGCTAATATTTACTTAGAGAAAAATGAAAACACTATTTCTATTAGGGGTATTGATGTGTTGTAGATACTAACTTGTGTCTTTGTTGAACAGGCAGCTGCTTATGGTTTGCCAATGGTTGCTACTAAAAATGGAGGTCCTGTTGATATTCATCGAGTATGTTTATTGATTAGTGGTTATGTTATGTATTGATCTATAAAGGTTCCCGTGGAAACATGGTTGATTAATTGATTATCGATACAGGTGTTCGACAATGGTCTGCTTATAGGTCCCCATGATGAGAAGTCTATTGCAGATGCTCTTTTGAAACTTGTTAGCAACAAGCAACTGTGGGCAAAATGTAGACAGAATGGGTTGAAGAATATTCATTTATTTTCATGGCCTGAGCATTGCAAGATTTACCTGTCTAAAATAGCCACTTGCAAGCCAAGGCATCCTCAATGGCAGCGTAGCAAGGATGGAGGTGAAAGTTCAGAATCAGAAGAATCACCCGGTGATTCATTGGGAGATATACAGGACTTATCTCTTAACCTGAAATTTTCATTGGATATACAGGATTTATGATACTCTCACCATCACTCAAGCTGTTATATTCTGTAACACCAAGCGAAAGGTAAACGAAAATTATCAAAGTTTCGTAGAATCAGTATGGTTGATTGGTGGATTTTGTACTCTGTATTTGCTCATAGTGATGAGTTAACAATTTCTATATTATATTATAAGTAGTATAGTTAATATATATCCTTTTGGAACAGGTGGACTGGTTAACTTGAGTCAATGCATATTCAAGCCAACTCTTTTTGACCTTGAAGAAAAATTTGTGTCTGATTGCTTTGGACTTGAGAAAAGGGATGAGATATTATGCATTCTAAGTTTTCTATCTTCCTCAATTTCTCTACCTGGTATTTATATGAAACGTGATATAGAAGAATTTTGTTTGTCAAACACATGTCTTATTTTATGTACAGCTTCAAGTTCTGGTAAACTGTACACATTAGGAATGACTCCAGTGAAATTTTTAGTAATTGATGATGCTGCACAACTAAAAGAATGTGAATCTACGATTCCGTTGCAGCTTCCTGGTCTTAGCCATTGCATTCTTATAGGTGATGAGAGACAACTTCCTGCATTGGTCAAAAGCAAGGTACTTAATAGTTTCTTAAACTTTTGCATTACTAAAAGATTACTCTGTGATATTTTGAAAATGTAATATTTGTAGATAGCTGACAAGTGTGAATTTGGAAGAAATATGTTTGAGAGGCTTGTAAGATTGCGATACAAAAGGAAAATGCTTAATATTTTTGACAAACCCACCGTGAAATCGAACATTTTTGTCTATGTAATGATTATTCCCTAGGGCCTTTAGTCGGATTATAAAGATGTTATCTCAACTTATGTATGGTCCAAGGCTTGGAGTCAGTTCTTTAAGTTGCATTTTTTTGATATTTTATTGTAAAGTTCAAAGATGGAAGCAACTAACGTATTTAGTTTTGATCTTTGTAGGCTGAGGTAACCATGATGAAGTTGAATGAGGAGAAACACGCATACAATAAAGAAAAAGATATGCTAAAGAAGGAATTGGTAGGTCTGTTTGTTATTTTTAATGTTATGTTGATGTTATCACTGCATGAATTTTGGCTTCCGCAATTGCATCGCAACCACAATTGATTTGTATGCTTTTTTTTCTTCTCAATATTAAGGTTAACAACATAACTGCAACTGTAGTTTAAACCTTTGAGGGAAGGGGAAAGCATAGAAAGCCTATTTGATTGATAGTCTTCTATTGGTCATTAATTGTCATCTTACCTCCACACATCCTTTTACTTGCTCAAGTCTGAAGAATGATAAACTGAAAGATGAGTAGATCTTGTTAAAGCTTACTGTAAAAATTGTCTAAGTTATCAAGTATATTTAGAATATAAGTTCAACCTATTCTTTTATTCAAATAACCATTAAAATTTTTCTAATCGACTGCGCTTGATTTCTGTCTGGCATTTCATACCCAAAATGGGGGTTTATGCTGATTGTTGAATGTTTCCATGTATATATCTTATTCTTTAAAGCAGTGAAGTTAAGTTTTGAGCTGCAATACATTTTCTATTGACGAAGATGATTGATCAATGATATTTTTCGATACTTGATATCATATTTCTTTTGTTTTGTTAGGAGGCATTGAAGAGGAAAAGTAACGCGAAAGTTCAGAAAGGCTTTTCATTACTGTTTGTCTGCATGGTTGCTATTGTCGATGTGGCAGTTGGATACTATATTCAGTTATAAGGCATATAATTGCTTGCGTATGATAGAAGGCGTTCTGAAAACTATGGTTTCTCTGTAGTTGTTTATTATGATAGTTTTCCTTGATTAATGTGTTAATATGTGACATGTGAATGTGAACTACACTTATAATGTAAGCAATATAATAAGCAGCCTTATGATATTTTCAGTGGATGATTAATAAATAAATAGTATTCTCTACACATATTATCATACAGATCCGCAATCTTTCTGCTCCAAATGCTCCAAATATCAGTAAAATAATATGAATCCTAAATTGAGTGCAGATTTTTTTTTTAAAAAGTATTTGCAACTTGCGACGGTTCAAACCGTCACAATATACCATAGTTTTTAAAAAAAATAATATTTGCAAATTGCGGCGGTTCAAACCGCCACAATATAATTTCGCAAGCAATAATGAAAACAAAAATCATTAAGCAAGTTAAGACGGTTGAAAACCGTCACAAGATGGAGATTACAACAGTTAGCTACCCGTCGTGAAAATAACAACGGTTTGTACGACAGTTTTCACAACCTTCGCAATACGGCCTCGCGACGCAGTTCTCACATCGTTTCTCAATTAAAAACTTTAATATTTATATAACTTTAAAAACATTTTAGTAATCTATGATCACTTGTGAATTGATTTGTTTATTTTTAGGCTTTGGCTTAGGCCAATCAACATTCTTTTAAAACTTAAACTAAACAATTTCAAACTATTCTTATTAAAAATAAATTTTTTGTTTTAATCACGTCATAAAATTCCTTTAAAATTGAGGGACTTAAAATTTTAAAACATAAAAATAAGGGACCAAAAATACATTTAAATTTTTAATTTATTATTTTCTCACCCTACATTAATTATAATTTAAATATATTAGTAGTTGATCAATAATAGTTTAATAAAATCATTATTTTTTCTCTTTTATTTATTATATTTTTTTTAATATGTGTGAGAGTGTCAAATATGACCCTAATTTATTATATATTTTTAATATGGTTGAGAGTGTCAAACCCTAATTTTTAATATGGTTGAGAGTGTCAAACCCTAATTTGAGATGAAGGGAGTACTATTTAATTCCAACATTTATGTAATGCCATGATCGACAATGAAAGTACACATAACACAAATGAATAAACCGTGAAACAAACCCTAACAGTGTCACAGTGTCGTGCTTATTGATCTTGACGGTAAAGAGTGACACGTTAACTCTCCATGCATTCAACAAAACGTGTCATCTTTTCTGTTACACCCTATTGTTTCTGTTTTTCACTTTAGAGTTCACTCAAATTCACCTAAGAAAAATAACTTAACCAGATTCTCTGACATCAACTTTCACCATACAACAGGTTTTTTGTGTGAGTGAGAGAATCATTGTTCAAAAACTGAAGAAAAATAACAATGGCCATGATGATGAGCACGATGGTTGCACTTAATTTCACATCTGATGTGGACAAAAATGTGGCTCATGATCATGCACAGGTTGTTTCTATAACACTCTTTGTCGCTGTTCTTTGCCTATGTTTACTCATTGGTCACTTGCTTGAAGAAAGTCGATGGGTTAATGAATCGATCGTCGCCATTTTTGTTGTAAGATCCATACTCATTATGAAATCTAGAATTTCTATTTCTGTTAATATTGTTGTCTCATCATAATTCCTGTTGTTAATCATGAACGTGTTGGTGTTCGATGGTGTTCGACGCTCGACGCTGACACATATGAGACACCAGACAATTCTTTGTTCAGAGGTCTCGGTGCTAATATACTCTTTGCCTCTAACATGTTCTCTTTGGTAGGGATGCATTGCTGGACTGGTTATATTATTAATAACTAAGGGAAAAAGTTCTCGAATCCTTACATTTAATGAAGAAGTATTCTTCATATATCTCCTTCCTCCTATAATATTTAATGCAGGGTAAAACTTTCTCTCTTGTCTTAGACTTGAAGCATCTCTTGACATTCCAAAATTTGATGTTTTTGACTTATCTTTTCAAACAGATTTCAGGTGAAGAAGAAACAGTTCTTCCATAACTTTTTGACCATCATGCTGTTTGGAGTGGTCGGTGTTTTCATTTCAACATCTATTATTACCGGTGGTAATGACTAATGACTACTCTTTTAGTTTTTCTCTTTCGTTAAACTTGTAGCGTTATCATTACGATAATTTTCATGGATTCACCTTACATTTGGTTCACCTAGGCAGCTGGTGGCTGTTTCCCAAATTGGGTTTCTCTTACCTGACGGCGCGAGATTATCTTGGTAAGATTAATTGCATCATCTCAATATTATGCAAAAACACAGTATTTTTAATCGGTTGGTATGTTTCAGGTGTAATCTTTAAATTGGACAGTAGTATTCAAATACATGTTTTAATCTTAAATCCTAAGCTTCAATAATAGAATGGTACTGCACAGCCACTGTATAGTAGGAAACGTCGGTACAATTTGCCGAATTTTGTGATCAAATTTCATCTGTTTATTGTTTGTGTTTTTCTTGTCTATTTTCTTTTGAATCAGAGTTTTTGTTATAAAAATAATGATTAAAAATCTATATATACATATTTGGATAACAATTTTTTTTATCTTAATTTGATTCAGCTTTAGGAGTAATTTTCTCCTCAACCGACACAGTATGTACGCTACAGGTTGGTTAGATCTGTGAACAATGAGTAATTTTCTCCGTTTAATTATATATCCACATGATCTTAGTTTCAACACTGCATTTGGAGGCTGTTGTAGGTTCTTAATCAAGAAGCTACTCCTTTACTATACAGCTTAGTCTTTGGGGAAGGAGTGGTAAATGATGCAACATCACTTGTACTCTTCAATGCAGTCCAACAGCTTGATGTTTCAAGACTTAACGGAAAGGCACTCCGTGTTATTGGTGATTTCTTGTATCTATTCGCAGCAAGCACTGCGCTTGGAGTCATAGTGAGTACTGTTAAATGAGCATCGTAGGCAACAATTGACCAAGACTTGATTTTTCAAGTGTTATTAGTTGAATTCACGGCTTCCTATATAATTTTTTACTTAGTCGATTGCATTATGCTCGTAGTTTTATCTCGAGAATTCATGTTTACTTCGATGAATTCTTGTTTATGCAGGCTGGACTTGTCACTGCATATATCTTGAAAGCGTTATCCTTTGGAAAGTATGTACATTTTTCTCTATAAGCTCTCTAAAAATAATATTTAAAGATTGATCTGAAATGTAAACATCAAAGTTCGACAATCCCATTTCATATTCTTGAGTTATGAAGGTGAAAATTTGAGGACAAGTTAACAAGTTTTCCCCTGCATATGCATGCAGACATTCAAGTGTTCGTGAAATTTCAATGATGATGTTAATGGCATATCTATCCTACATGTTGGCAGAGGTATTGGATGCTCACTATTTTGTCTTTTATTGATTTCAAACCAGTTACAAGCCTAAAGAACTATGGCCCAGTTTGAATAAACAACTTAGTTAAGCACTTAAAAAATAAGTGTTTATTAAATACTAGTAAGCTCTTATGTATAAGCTATTTCTACAACAAAAATAAGTTGTTTCATAAGTTCCATATAGGGTCTATTTAGATGGACTTATTTGAGCTTATGTAGTGACATAATTTTGTGAGATTGTTTCGGAGAATTTATGAAAACAATTTAACTTTATTTTATCTTTTACTGTAGAAATACCTTATGTAAACTTATATGTAAGTGTTTATCAAGATAACTGCTTTTTCTATAAGCTGCAAATAAGTTATTTCTCAAATTTTTATACAAGTACTTATAATGGCAGAAAAATTCAAATAAGTTTGTCAAAACAGACAGTCATATAACTTAGAGATTTTTGCTTTTTATTAAGTTTAGATACTTTTTTTTTCACCGTCCATCTAAACCGAAAATTCTTATACAGCTACTTGAACTAAGTGGAATCCTCACTGTTTTCTTTTGTGGAATATCAATGTCACACTATGCATGGCATAATGTGACTGAAACTTCAAGAACCACAACCAGGTATTTGGTTAGTCCATGGTAGAGTTTAGTAATCTCCCGACTCATGGTCTTTGTTTTTGATTTTGGTTTCTCTTCTCCAGGCATGTGTTTGCAACAATGTCGTTTATTGCAGAAACTTTCATATTTCTTTATGTGGGTATGGATGCCCTTGACATGGAAAAGTGGAGGATGACCCATTTAAGGTACTATACTTGTCTATGACTCTGTACAATTAAGTGTATCTTTGGTTCTGCGATGACTAAAACTGATTTTGAATAAAGTAAATTTGTAAAATAGATAATTGCGAGATTCATTGCAACATAAATATTTTCTTGTCAACTTCATTGCAGATTTGGAAATTTGTTGGGAATTTACAGTTGCTTAATCTTCTTAATATTGCTCGGGAGGGCTGCATTTATTTTCCCCCTCTCCACACTTGTCAATTATATGAATAGGCGCGTCGAAGAAACACCGAGTATCACATTACAACACCAGGTTACTATTTCTGTTTTATATGATAGTCTTGTAGTGTCACAATTATCTCTGAGAAAATAGTTTTTTAGATTGGTTTCTTGTGTTTTGTGAATGATGCAGATAATCATTTGGTGGGCTGGACTAATGAGGGGAGCAGTCTCCATCGCTTTGGCTTTCAAACAGGTATGTTCACGACGTTTTCATTTCTAGACATCCTAGTTATATACCAGTGTAGCATAATGAGTACCATTGAATTTTCATTTTTTTTTGTTTATGCAGTTCACGTTCTCTGGGGTTACTTCAGATCCGGTTAAAGCGACAATGATTACCAACACCATTATTGTTGTCCTTTTCACCACACTGGTGAGTTTTTTTTCTCCATCGATAGATTTGATAGATGAGGATTGTCTAGATTTATATATGCTCAATTTAGGCCATTATTTTATAAATCGGACTAGAAATCAGACCGTTATGGTCTCATTTTTAAAACAATGGTCTAAAGTGAGACATCAGTTTTTTCCTATAAGCTCTTAATCTTAGTAGCAACCGAT